TAAATACCGAGAAATCCCCTTCTGGTCATCTATCATGTCACGAATATTTGAGCCGCCGAGAAAGTGAACGAGTTACGGGACACTTTCAGGTAAATCTATACCGGGATTCCGACATGTCTGACTTTATGCTGATGGCGGACATTAGCATTGGAACCATTAATTCAGACGATTTCTGGCAGGTAATGTTCAAAACGTTTCAAGTCCAGATGATCACATGCGCCCTAAACATCTCCTCATTGGATGATGGAAGCAATTATCATATATAAATTTTATGAACTTTGTTTGGATTTTAAGTCTTTTTCATTATTGTTCGATTTGTCATAAAAAAACACATGACAAAAATATCAAAAATATATGTATAAGTTGAACTAATTTTATAAACAGCGCAAGTACATACAAAGACACTTTTTTCTGATGTAAAGCATTGATGTTTGAAGAAACTAACGAGTTAATCCAACTTGTAATACCTATGTGTTTAATATATGATCAAACAAATATTTTATATTAATTGAGACGAAACATAAGAGAAGGAAATTTCATGTGTAATTATTGAATCAATTACAATTCATAAAATATGACATATCTTCCAGCCGTTTCTCGCAACTAACGTATTAATTATCATAAAGCTCAGTAATTAAATATACGATAATTGAAAGTTTAATATGAAAAGAAACATAATATTCCAGAATAAGTAAAAAACATATTAAAAGCAAACTGACACGCGCGCGCGTTATTATACAAAATTTGCTTTATTATGCGTTTAAGTTTATTTTTATACTTTATTACGAAAAGATCTTTCGATTACAATAAAATCCGTTCCCTGTGATCACGTTTTGAAAAGCATATTTTCTCGCTTAAAGTCGTATTATCGGAAAACGGAACTTTAGTAGCAAGAAAGTTGATTTATCCTTCGAAATGATCGTCCCCTGACTCTTAATAGGAAATATAATAGGAAATAGGGTAATGCCGAGCATGGCGGTGGCACAAAGCGAACGTTTATTGCATTTGGGCAGCACTTTACGTTGCATTATCTTATCTAGACGTACCTTGGATTCTCCTCGTGCGGAAGAATCGTAGAATCGTAGCTTTCATAACTCATCTTCGCTGGGATGAATAAAGGGTATGATTCTCAAAAAAAAAAAAAATTATAGAATAGGAATACAATATAGCACAGCTATAGTTGTTCACTGCTAACTTAACTTACGTTTGCATCTCAAATCTTCCGACGTTCCCGCCCGAAAGAATCGTAAACTGATATTTCGATGGGAATTAAATCCTGATATTCTTGCGGAGGGAATAGATATACATTGACTCTTTACATAGATTTTACTATCAGCCTATATATTTTGTTGCATTTAAAGCACGTGCGTCAGGACAACAAATCTCACCATCGCTACACTGTTAAATATTAAAGGATAAAATATAAACCAATACCTTGAGTTAAATAACTTTTTGTTACTTTTAACTATCTGCGTCGGAAATTTATTACTTTAACGCAAACTAGTATTATTTTAAGTCCATTGTTTAGTTAAATTAACAACATATTGAGTAGGAGCAGTGGAGCGACTAATAAGAATGTTAAAAATGACTCAAATTGAGTATATAATTTGATATACTATTACGAATTTAACAATTCTTTTTCCATAGTGCTGCAGCTTTTCCTCAATAATTCCATCTTTTAATTAAATATCGATCAAGTTATCGACGACCGAGAACAAAGTTTTAAAAATAAGCATTCAAGCTAGAGTTAAACTATCCGCTTTCAAGCATTACTTCGATAATCGATTTTATAAAAATGTGTAATCGATGACTAAATTGTAGTCGATGACTAAATTGATAGGAATATCGTTATAGTACAGATAGATAAAAGTTTATAACCGATATTATTATGCAGTACTTAATGCAAACTAGTAAAATAAATAATGAGATATTCAAAACTTTTAATGACGAAGATTATTACGCTCCAATATTTCCAAGATATAATTATTCGATTATATTTGATTTTAGAACTAAATTATTATTTAAGAATAGATTCACCAATAATTTAATTTAGAGAACGAATAGAGAAAAAATGCTATCCGATAAGTAGCAATTGACATTTCTTCTCTCGTTTTCTTTCTCAAATGCTCATTTTTAAGCATTTGCACTTTAACTAATGAGACCTAGAAAATAATGACGTCCAAGCAATCAGTTTCTTCGTTCATAAGTTCTCAAGAGTGTTAACTGGTAATTAGACCGTAATGAGGAGATCTTATAAATTTCGTTAAAGTCCCTTTTTCCGTTTAGGGAGCAATTCGAGTTTTACTAAAATAAATGCGACTAATCCCTCGCAATTATTTTCTTTTTAAACTCCATTTGATTTTCCGACTTAAATTCGAGAAAACTTGCCCGTAATCGGCGCGTCTCCGCTGACCGTCTCGCCGCAGGTAGATCGATATTTAATTAAAGGTGGATCGCGCAGGGGAAAAAAGAAAACAGATAAGTGGAAGAAAGAAAAATGTGGAAAAGATTGGATAAATCTGGTGAACGTGAACTAAAAATGCATCCGGCCGTGCCCCCGAGAAAATGCGCGTCGAGCAATTCTGTATCCCCAGCTATTAAAGAAATCTATATATTCGTCCGTTTCCAATAAAATCTCTGTTAGATACAAGTACGTTTTCGAAATATTGCACATTGAACCACGTTTGACTGTACGATCAATCTTCAGTTTAAATTTTTACAGCTGGACGGCAACGGTAAAATAAAACTTTTTTCGCCAAAGTGGACGCGGTTTTTTGTTATTAGTTACACGCGCACGAGAAGAGAATAATAAACTAAATAAAAAAGATATTTACTGAAAATCGTAATTTGCGGTATTTACCTTAAAAAAAAACAATTAATAGTGGAATATAGGAATATATAGGTATATGAAAAACGAAATATTTTATCATAATTTTATGCATGCATAATTAATATAAAATCTAACAAATCGATAAGTTAATAAAAAAATATTCAATAAATTATAATATAGGAAAAATAATATATTATATGCATAATATATATAAAACGTAAGTAACGAAATATTTATATATTTATATTACAATAACTACTGACAAGTAGCTGAAATAAACTAATAAAAATAACTTTATGCCGGATATCAGTTAGGACACGCATATATATTTCTTTGTCAACAGCTTTCAAATTGACAGAACCCTTGTATACTTGATAAAGAGAGAAAGTCACTCGGATCATTTGTTTCAACGTCAATTTTATCAAACGTCGTAAAAGCGTCAGTCGACAGACAATTACACTCATCAATTCTGGATGTTTCTTCCTCCGGGCGAAAAAGGTGGGCGAAGCCCCGCTGGAAAAACCGCATCCATCCACCAGTTGCATACGTTTACCGCTCTTCGCTCGATAACAATAAAGCCCGTATAGGAGTACAAAGAAGCCTGTCCCAAGCGAGAGAGAGGAAATTCGGAAAAGCGGAAAAGTGGGTCGCGAAAATTGGATGGGTGTGTCGAAAAATTGCGTTTCCGGAGAAAAATGCATAGTGCGAACCGTATGACATTCGCTTCGTAGGAATGATTCCCGATTGGTGCCAAGTGCCTTTAATCTAACGAGTGTCCGCGAACGAAGTGTAACCGACCGACAAATACTGAATGCGCGGCCGTCGCGTCGGCCAAGCCCCGACGATTCCGCATTCTTCCGCAGAGAACGATTACAGCCACCACCTAACGTGAATCGCAGTCGAGCACTCCGCAAATTCGCACGCTTCGATCGTTTCATCGACCTTCCTTTTGCCTCCCTTGTTACCGCGAAACCATCTTCCTAGTTTTCTGGCAGTCAGACTGCCGCAGCTCTCTCTCTCTCTCTCTCTCTCGCCGCGAACGCAAGAATTTTCGAAAGATTCTATTTGCGCGTGTTCCGCAGAGCGAAGAATTTAGGTAGATAAGTTATAAAGCGTTCGTACTCCGATGTAAACGCTTTAGGAATTTCCCCCTTTCCTTTTACATTCTTCCCACGCAGCGAATTTGCAACTTTTCGCTTACTTTTTACCTCGATTACAGTTTAGGAGCTACATAAAAAAGTGAATATGTTTTTTTTTTATTTCAATGTTATAGCTCACGCCGAAAACGATTGAGAAATAAAACCTGCACCATTCTTCATAGTTCACGTAAGTAGTCCATATCCATAAAGTCCAATGAGTTCGGATCATTGTAATTCGGTCCATTGTGTAAATTCACATAAAGCACTGAAAACTTTGACGATACAATAAATGGCTGGAACGCGGTGAGAGCTGAGAGAGGCAAGGCTCGCGTTGCTGCGGAAAAGCTACGCTAAGGCGACCATACGTCTTTGTTAAATCTATGCCACGCTTAGTCAACGCCGCGAGATACGCATCGGGGAGATTTCGCCTTCGAAGGAAACACCCCGACGCGACGTCTGTGTCCCCGCGTGGCTCCTCCATGATATATCGTCGCAGACACGCCATTTCCTAAGCGCTACGACACCCACCTCCCCCCCGCCCGGCATCTATATGTTTACGTGTGGAGAACGTGCTCTAATCGCGGCCGCGATATTTATTGGCGACCCGCTATTACACGGAAGCGACAATTTGTCATGCCGCTGTATTAATTACGTAGGCTATACCTTGTGCAGATAAGGCCGCTGGAAGCAACCTGTTTGAATCGAAGCCGTCTCCGGTAAATTTTCAGATTAATTGCCGTCGGACCAGTCAGTGCTTGTTTGCAATTAATAACGATACATATGTACCAACGTACGACCTTTGTTAATTGTCCAAGGATGATTTATATTCTGAGTAAAGCAATAAACAAAATTCGCATTTCAAATAGCTTCATGATTCTGTCTGCATAACAACAGCTATATAGGGTAAATATTATATCATCTATCTTTGATGTATCAAAGATTCCTTAATTAATATTAAAATCGATGGAAAGAATTCTCTTGCCTGGCGTTTACAGTAAAATATGATAGCAAAATCAGAAGAAGAGACTTACCACTTTGTCGCCCAAATTTCGCACGCGGCACGGCAGATATGCGGTTTGTCCTACAAATGCACTGACATTTGCTGCTGTCGGCTCGAAAACGGGCATATCTTCCATCAAATCATTACTGGCATCGTTTGCATGCCGCTGCGCATCTTCGGTGGATGTTACGCGTACGTGTGCTGACGCTGAAAAGAGAATAACAATCTGATGATGACGATCATGATTCTTAACGCCATATTTTTCAATAGTCTTATAAAAGTTACGTTAATAAAAGTAATTGTTATTTGTGTTGCGCTTTATTTATTACTCCAATGCCGTGTGTTAGTGTATATACGTTAAATTGTTAGAATAAAGAGAAGAGTGCACGCACGATATGTTTCAAACATTTTTTCTCATTTTGTTTTATAGGAAGTATGACAATTAAGGGCTCCGTCTGTCGGAAGAGACTAAAGAGACGTTAAACCGTTGGTCCAAAGGGTTAAAATACCTCAGGAAAAAGTCACCAACCCGCTCGATAAGCATGGTGACTTCTAGTTAGCGTAGGCTGACAACCCACCTAATAAAACAAACCTGTCATGAATACATTACTATAGTAATGCAGGCCAAGGCTCTCCCGAGTTGTAGTGTCATGGATTTATTTTTTTTTTTTAATTTAAGATTAAATTCATAAAAAAATCATAAAAGATGTACAGAAAAAAAGTAGTGTTACATATGAAAACTTACATACTCGAATATACGCAACAATCTATAATCTTCTTATATAAGAACTTATATAAAAATTTTAACTTTTTATTTCAACTTTGTTTTCTTGGTTGAACTATATAAAATACTTCATTAAAGCAAGTTTTCTTCATTTAACACAATATAATCTTATTTCAAGATTTAAAACTAAAGATATTTCAAAATCAAGAATATTCTTTTTTATGTGCTAATCTTATTCTTATGTGCAAAAGATTGTACGGAATTATTAATATACGGATTAAAAGAAGTCTATCTTCGTAACGCGTTGGCAAACTTAATCACGCGTGTAATGCAGCATGTTCAGCGCGTCACAAAGAAGCGCGCAAAACGTGTTTTATCTTCCGTGAAACTTATATGCGGATTTTGGACAGGAAACCAGCGCTCACCGACGTCTCCCACGAGAGCGCAGCTCGTGAATCTGCTGCGAGCGACTGCTAGATGTACTACTTACAAGATACCAGAATCCAAATGCGCGTTATAACTGGCAAGTAGCGAACTGGCGGCGCCGAGCGAGCAAACTCAGCTCATTTCTTAAGCATAATACGCTCTTCGACATTTCGGCAGAATATCTTATAGAACATAGCTATGCACTCTGCCTCATTGTATATGCTCGTTTGTACCTCCATAGAATTCTCCCCCCGCCTCCTTCGCCACCCAGTTCGTCATGTACTATGAAGAATAAGCTAGCATACTTTCACGACAATATACGCTCGACTTTATAGTGATAAAAGACATTACACATGTGCAGCGAACGACGTGTATTTTATCTAAAGAGCGAGCGCGCTCGCTCACTAACAATTTTATTTCCAAAATTTTCGACAAAGGATATCATGTAGTTAAAAAAAAGGAAAAAAACAAAACTGGTTCATGTTTAATCGATAACGCGTTTTTATTGGTTTATACCTGGAGGATTGATTGAGTTTGTAATAAAAGAGATTGTTTTGAGTACTTGTAAAAACTTGTTTTGATGAATTGGATTAGAGAGACTTTTGCGTTTTTATCATGAGCACCCGTATCTGCTTGTATACATTTTCATAGTACATTTTCAGAGTTCTCTCGATACGCTTTACTACATTTTAACCATGGATTTGAAATATGGTTAAATTCACTATATCTCTAAATAAATAAATCTTTTTTGTTATTTTTTACGAAATTCTTTTTACATATATTTTATTTTATTTTTTCTTGACATATTGCTGAGTATATTTTATATTTGTTGGTTTTATATAATAATGCAATATATACAATATATTTACGTGTACATACCAGATTCCAAAACTAAAACTTAAAATCTAATTGCAATGCAACTCGCAAGAAGACGCGCAAATTATGAAGAAAGGACCAATATTCCTTAAGTCTGATTCAAGTTCTCGCATCTATTTGCTTCACGTGTGCGAGTGGCAGTAGAATAAATTCGATTCACACACATTCCTCTCTCTCGCAACCCATCGAATTTATTTCAAATATGCATGTCACGTAAAATAGTGACACGTACTACAGGGGTCGCGCGAAAGCCAAACTTTCAAACGATTTCGATTTTAGGAGATTATAAAGGGCACATTATTCACGCAAATTGTACGGGATAACCGCAAGCATTATTTTACAATCATGATAATATAATCTAGTGGCGCTAGTTTGAGTATACAATATAAAAACTTTATTATTATTATTATTATTATTATTATTATTATTATTATTATTATT